AGGTGCTACTTACCAGAGGCTGATGGACAAGGTATTCACCGACCAAATTAGATGGAAAAAGTCTACATCAATGATATGGTAATTAAAAGCCGCAATGAAGAAATGTTACTCCAAGACGTAGAGGAAACCTTTAAAACACTAGTCGAAGTGCAGATGAAGGTATATCCGGCTAGGTGTACTTTTGTACTAGAGGAAGGGAAATTCCTTGGCTATCAGGTGACCATGGAAAGGATTCTACTCAATCCCACCAAAATACAAGAGTTCCTTGAGTCGAAAACGCCCCACAACCTTAAGGAAGTGTAGTAGATTAACGGCAGGTTAATGACTCTTGGGAGGTTCATTGCCAAATCCACAGAGAAGGCGCTTCCTCTGTACCAAACACTCAAGGGATGCCTAGACAAAAAGCAATTCAAATGGATAGAGGAAGCGGGCGTGACCTTGCTAAAATTAAAAGACGCACTGTAGTAACTCCCGACTCTCACCTGCCCACTTACAGGGGAGACTCTACAAATGTACTTAGCAGTGTCTGAAGAGGCTATCTACTCTGTGTTAGCGGTGGAAAGGGAAGGCAAGCAAATCCCCATTCACTTTGTCAGTAGGTCCCTGCAAGGGTAAGAAGTAAATTATCCGGCCTTGGAAAAATTGGTCCTCACCTTGGTCTACGCAGTAAGATGTTTACGGAGGTATTTCCAAGCCCACAAGGTGGAGGTTCTGACCAGTTACCTAATAAAACAAGTGTTGCTAAGGTTGGAAAAGTTCGGACGACTAGCCAAGTAGGCTACAGAGTTAGGTGAACATAACATCCAGTACCACCCCAGAACTAACATCAAATCCCATGCCCTTGCTGACTTCCTCGTTGAAATCCCAGATACCATCAAGGGAGTACTGATGATAATCTCTGTAGACCCATTAGAACCTAACGTCGACAAGGAACTTTGGAAGTTGTATACCGATGGCGCAACAAGCAAAGAAACCTCAGGCACAAACCTGATCCTCCAAAGCCCCAAAGGCAAAGAGGTCATCTACACACTATGGTTCGACTTCCAAGTATCTAACAACAAAGTAGACTTTGAGGCGCTCCTGGCAGGACTATGGTTGGCCAAGGAGGTTGGCGCAGAACAACTAGCAGCTCTTAGTGACTCGTTGCTTATCACAAACCAAATAAATGGAGTACACAAGGCAAAGTATCCTAGGATGCTGAAATATCTAGATGCGGTCCGCAATTTAGCCAGCATGTTCAAATTTTTTTCAATAAAGCAAATTTCCTGGGGGAAAAATGTAAGGGTAGACGCCCTCAACAAACTGGCCTCCACCTCATATGATCATCTCACAAAGATAGTGTTGGTCGAAGTACTCCAGGAAAGGAGTATTGATAACCAAAAAGTAATGCCTTATCATCTCCCCTAGAATTGACAAAACCATTTGTTGATTACTTGAGCCATGGCGTGCTTCCGGATGATCCATAGGAGGCGAGAAAAGTCAAAGTCAAGGCACTGCATTTTGCGATACAGGACAATCAGTTGTACTGAAGGGGGTATCTAAGCCCATGGGTCAGATGCATTTATAAGACAGAGGGGCAGGCTTTTCTCGAAGAAAGCCATTATGGGGACACGAAAGCACATGAAGGCGCTCGCGCACTCACAAGCAAGATACTTCGCGTAGGAGTATACTGGCCGGAAATATACATCGACGCCGCGGACTTAACCAAGAAATACAAGGAATGCCAAACATTCATCCCTTTCCAAAATCAGCCGGCCATGCCATTGACAAGCATCACTATCCCATGGCATTTCCACCAATGGGGGATCGATATAGTGGGACCATTTCCATTGGAGCAGGGAGGCATAAAGTTTTTGTTGCTAGTCGTGGACTATTTCACCAAGTGGATAGAGGCAGAACCACTGGCCACTGGCCACTAGCAAGCAGATGATAAAGTTCGTGACAAAGAACATCTTGTCCCACTTTGGAACCCCTAGGATCCTCATAAGTGATAACAACACTCACTTTGAGGGAAGTCCCTTCAAGGAATGGTGTGAAGACAAGAAAATCCACCGTCATTCACATCATTAGCACATCCTTAGGCTAACGGATAGACATAGATATCCAACAAACCCATAGTCAATGGTTTGAAGATACGACTACTCAGATCAAAGTATGACGGGGTGGATGAGCTCCCAACAGTGCTATGGTCCTATCGCACCACAACAAGGTCAAGCACGGGAGAAACGCCCTTCAGACTAACCTATGGGACGAGGGCGGTCCTTCCATTGGAAATAGTCGTTGGCTCCTTGCGAATAGAGAATTTCGAGGAGGTAGCCAACGAATAAGAGCGACGCCAAGACCTAGACATGCTCGACGAAAAACGCGAGACAACACAGATGCGCCATGCACTGTATAAATCACAGATCAAGAACTATTACAACTGCCAAGTCCATGCCAAGAACTTCAAAGTTGGATAATAGGTACTAAGAAAGAATGAGTCTAGCCATGCTAAACCATTGGGGAAACTCAGTATCACGTGGGAGGGACCATACAAAATCATAGAAGCACATCAGAATGGTACATATGTCCTAGAAGCTCAAGACTGGCGCACCATTCTAAGAACGTGGAATGCGCAGAGCCTGCGCCATTTCTACTCTTAAAACAAGTGTTAAAGGTAGAACCAGTGCTAGCTAATGCATTGTGTGTTAATTTTAATATGTAAATGTGATCAACATAAATTACTTTACTAATTTTCAGTTATGTTATGCTCTAACCAAACTAGAGTAAATAGAAAGGGAAATTCATATGCTCCTTATATCCGAATTTAAGAAACAAAAAGGTTGTGTACATTTACTGTGTGGCACAAGGACTGAGCATCTAACGTCACACGAGCAAAATCATTACAAGAAGCCATCGAGGGAGTTTAAATTTGAAAGGATCATAACCTTCCTCCCAAAACATGTTCATTAATTACATAACATATGACATGAGTGTAGAAGGGTCATAACCTTCTACGGATATAAAAAAAAAGCAAAAAAAAAAAAAAAAAAAAAAAAAAAAAAAAAAAAAAAAAAACTGGGTAAGCCTCAAGATGACGATTTTGGCTACACCCAGGGTCTTTAAGCAGTAGATTAGAACATATCTCTCAAAGACTAGTTTTAGTAAAGTAGAAATAGTTCACTAGTGAGAGAACTCTGAGCAAGGGTGTAAACAAACCCTGTGTACATATCATGTAATGTCCAACCTAAACCATACACGGAGTAACCAGACGAAAGAGTATGTGTAATAAAAAGAAACAACCACACCCATGAAAAGCAAACATTGTTCAAACAGCCGGACTCCCAGAATCAAAAGATGGCCACAAAGAGCAGCAAAGAAGACAAGCAAATGAGGAAAATATTGTCAAAGGGGGTTACATCAAAACAAGCCAAAAACAAAACTACTTATCAACAGAAATGTTATCATCACCAGAAGGAAAGCTTGAACTAGGGACTGATCCCTCACTTTGAGACTCCTGCCAGAGATCACGAAGCCCAACTATGTCCAGGGAACTCAAGCGAATATAGCCAACAAAGTCTGTCTCCGTGAAGATTACCAAGGTGTCTTCCATATCTTGAGTCCTGGATGCCACATTCTCCTCAGATATTGGGTCACCCCCCTGGCGGATACCTGCTCTCAGATAATCTTTTTTCCCTGTTCAACACCGGAAACAGCACAAGCTTCTTTCACAAGAACCAAGGCTTGGAGCAATTATGGATTTTCAGTCAACCTATCCACAACTCGGCTGAGCCCGTCGCTAAGGATTGAAGAAATATCCCTTTCCAGCGCTCCCCTTGCGGCGTTCTCGGTCACTAGATCAGCCTCCAGCTCTGCTGTCTGATTGCTTAGACAAGTGTTCTCCAACATCAGGATCCCCACACGAGCATTTAGGCCCTCCACCTCTTTTACTAGCTACGCTGCTTGATCCTCCATGCTTTCCCTATCAAGTAACATTTCCTCCCCCAGCCTCCAAGCTACCCTTATCGGCTTTTAATTTCGCCGCTTGGGCCTTCAGTTCTTCGTATTCAATGCTCCTTCTGTCCGAATCGGAATGGAGGGTCTCCATGTCAGAGATGCGTTCAGCGGCCGCGACCAAATAAGATGACACTTGGGTGGCAGCGTAATGCAAGCCATCAACCATATGCTTGTCGGATAGCATACTTAAGGCCTCACTCATGGCAGGAGAAAATGTGTGCTGACACCACTCGAGAGCGGTGTCATGATCAGAGACAAGATCTTGAGCAGTTAGTCTCTAGGCTGGCTTATAAGCATCCAGATGCGAACCCATCAATAGGGGGGCTATGGACTTACCAAAAAAGGTGGAGGCAAGACCGTGAGGAGGTGAAGAACCAATCTTTGTCCCAGCTCCTTCGATTATGGGAACGGGGTTGGTTTTTTCGGTGTTTTTCTCTCCTATATGACGGGGCATTTCAGTCGCCCTGGTTTGTGTTGCCTCCAACAGTTTCGAAGGACCTACATCGGGGGAACGAATGGAATCCTTAGAACCCCCAGTAAGAGACTCAAATTATGCTTCTTACGTAGAGGGGGCCTGATGCTAGCTGCCTCAGTTCGACTACTGGAAGAGGTTTCCAAGAGTGTGAAACACCTCCTAACCCGATGAATACTCCTCAGGGACCCGAATGGTGTAGAATCCTTTTGAGAAGCACCAATGATGACAACGTCCTGTAGGTCTGGATCCTCATCAGCATCGGTAACACTCTCAAAACAGGTAGTCACCATAATTCCTTGGCCGGAAAACGAGGTGGAAGAGCCTCCACAAGGTAAACGTCGTGAACCTGAAGCTTACTATCAAAAAAACCCCGTGGAGCTTTCTCTAAAGAAACAGTCTCCTCCACACCTGGTAAAAACAAGAAATAATGCCGATTCAGCCAAAGCACTACTGTGAACATAACTTGCCAATCTTTTCAATAAAAGGGGGAGGGGGGGGGGAGGAAGAGAGGAAAAGCAAAAGAGATACCCTATATCTCAACAAATAATTCAGGCATCTTCCCACAAGCCCTCCAAGTAGCACTCATCCCACCGGCAGCCAAGAAACAATCAAGCCAATCTTCACCGGTGATGCTGATCTTCTCCAGGGCATCAGCTAGTTTCTTTTCTGCACCAAACAACACAGGAGCATGGTTAATGTACACCTTATTCCTCCGGTAACTGAGTACCATGAGATCGTTGTTTACCCATAAGAATTTATCTTTACAGTTTTTCTTATACTTCTTATCATGGATAAGAGTAGGCACTCCCCGGTGGCGAGAAAGGGTTCGAGTCCCCAACTGAGTGGAGGCATTAAAAAAGTGCTTGAAAGCAAGAACGGTTGGAAAGTGGCCTAGGGCATGACAAAGGATTTCAAATAGACTATATTGTTTATAGCGATAGGGTTCAACTCCCTTACTGAAAACTCGTATTCCCGGATTATAAAGTTGAAGAAATCGGTGGTAGGAAAAATGCAGATGTGCCTCAAACAAGGCGATTGGGATCCCGAATTTGCCCTCAGGAGGACTGTACAAAGAGGCAATAGGGAAGGAAATTTGCACGCCATGTTCAGGAATAAACCCGAATCGAAACTCAAAACACTCCCGTTCCTTGGTAGTAAGATCTCTTCCTAAAGTGCGAGCAGTAGCCATGGAAAATACGAAGGAAAGGTTTAAAGGGTTTTTCTTAAGAACAAATAGAAGGAAATGAGGAAAAATCCAAGATGAAGTTGGGTTTTAATGCCATCAATGAGGCAACGAACTGTCCTCATGATGAAACCACTAAACAATGGATATTTCACCCTGCCAACTGCATAAACGGTCAATAGCAGTTTGTCACATATCTATGAGTAGACCAGAACAACTTTGCTACGTTATGAACGCAGAGGCCTACTGGCCTAAGGAAATTGTTAACAATGCCTAAAGTCCATGTTAAATGTAACAGAGACGTTACTACCTTAGCTGAGACCCAGTCTTGTCCTTAGAGAGCCAAAGCCAGAGCGACAACTCATTTCTCATCACAAGGGAAGAACATCCCATGTATTCTCCTCATTCACCCACAACCAATAAGAAAGCAACAAATAGCCCGGGTGACACCCAGAACTGACGTCACCTAGCGATTAGTTAGCGTGAATAGCTCTCCCAGTAAGAGGATGCCACATATCATGCTCATGAGGAACGGTCTCCACGATCCATTAGCAACAGGTATAAAGGTATCTCTCCCGTCTCAAGGAAGGGATCCATCTTCTTTCTCACGAAGACTAACCTAAGATTTCTCTCTCACCATAGACTAACTTGATCATCGGAGCGACGTCCTGGGAGAACACCCGGTTGTCACACCCCAAAACCATGAATGGCGGAAACATTCTGGGGCGGAGGACGCCATGTATAGTATCACAACAATGAATAATAGTTAACAAGCAACAACATCATCCATTGCATTAATATTATAATTTCATACATGTGTGTTCTATCAAAGTTATAGACACCAAAAATATACATATCAAAATAAAAGATGAGTCTTGAAAGAACTCCATCTTCTCAAAAGCCTGGCACTTGTACCTGTCTAGTGGTGACCTGAGAATACAAGTTATTTTGAAAGCGAGTATCAGCTTAAAGCTGGTGAGATCATAAGTATATTAATGTCTAAGTTTGTATGAAAACGTTTGAAAGTTGTTTCTGTAAAATGTTTTGTATAATGTTTGAACTCTCCTAGAAAACCCTATGTTTCCTACTAACTGTAGCCTTCTACCAAGGCATCTCGTGTTCGTGTATATGTCTCTTGTTAGAGTGTGTGTTTCCCAAATTCGGACTATCATTAACCAAAAATATAGTTACTACATTACCGTGCATCGTGTGAATATTCACGAAGTGAATGTAAATGGGAAAATATTAACATACCGTAGTATTTGTAATATGTGACTACCGTGGTACTAACTACCTTAATACAAAAAGGTTTTTTCAAATAACATGTGATCGACCTGTATCCTGCTACCGACTCTAGTTAAACGACGGTGTAAGACGCCGTAAGAAATGACATTTGGCACCCGTAGACTTGCAAGTCCCACTGTAGCGAGCAACAAGGTGTAGGATAGTCAATCCAGTATAGATCTATACGCAAACTCATACACTCTCCAATTTAGGAGATTCGGGATACAAGAACGGTCGGGGCAGGAAGTGCCATGACCCGCTCAATGGTTCACATAACTGCATAAATGTATATGTAACAAATGTGCTAACTAAAAGTGTAATCTTCCTCTATCTAGCCTGTGTGTACTGAAATGTTCTACGTGTGCTAGCAATAATATACGTTCTCTCTATCTAGCATGTATAGCGATGTACTGTGTGTACTACTCGAACTGACTCATGAATGAACTAACACATTGTATGTTTCTTTGTTCTACTTATAGTATTAGTATTCTCCGGTGCTACCCCTATGGTAACTTACTAATGATGTAACTGGTACGTATGAACCTGGAAGTATACCCTTGCTACCCAAGGGTACTGAATGAACTGGAAGGAACTTTATGACTACATATGTACACAGGATATATAATTAATATTTAAATGACCTTCGGACGGATACCCGATATCCCACCAGACCACATCTCAAGCGCGAAAAGGAAATAGGGCGGGCAGGCCTTCCTAAGCCTTTTAAACACTTATTATATAAGTATACATACATAGACATGCAATTGATAATAAGTATTAAAGAGTTTAAATGAAAGTATTTGATAATTAAATGAGTTTGTAACATAGGTTGTAACAATACGGTTTGATAAACAATTTGAACGGTAAGAAATAACTGGCTTTGTAGTTATTAATCACATGTGATTGACGTAATAACTATAAGTAATTAACTTGTATTCCCCCTATAAAGCATTTAAAAACATTTAAATCATTGGTTAAGGGGTATGAACTCACCTGTAGTGAGTGGTATCGATGAACTAAAGATGTAGGATCGCTAGGTGACAAGTGAAGTCTTGAACACACTTTATAACCCTAGTTAACATATAATACCACATATATGCATCCAATTAGTCTTAAACTACTAATTGATAATGTTAAGACATCCTAGAACATAATAAACACTTGATATAAGTGTTATAAGCCCTAAGGATTGCATCTAAGCTATTTTGGGACAAGGCACTTTGGTTTTAGGGTTCCAAAGGACCCTATACTTGAGTTTACTCTTGCATGGCCATCACACAAGGAATTCACGGTTGTAAACTCATGAGTTTACAGCCGTGAACTCTCAAGCTTGGTGACATTTGGTGTTTTGAAGTTCTAAATGATCCCTAGAAGTATTCCAACTTGGTGGATTAATTCTTGGAAGGGTTTAGGGCATAGAAACACTCCTTTGAGGAGTTTATGGCCCAAAGACCAAATCCCTTTGAGTTTACTACCGTAAACTCTTATGGAAGGGTGTTTTTGATGTATTCAAGTCTCATACACATGTAGGATAGGTTGTAGACTTTTACCCTAAGCAAATGAAGGCCTTAGGCACACTTTGGTGCCTTAATTTGATGTTCACGGACCAGTAACAATCATAGGGCCGTAAACTCTCAAAAGTGGGGTTTTTGGATGTGTTTAAGTCCTTGATTTAAATGGAAACACTTCTATGTAAATGTCCAAAGCCTTAGGAGTGTTAAAAACACCTTTTGGTCCTTGTTTTTGGAGTTCACAGTCCAAGAACTCCTTGGGCCGTGAACACCTAAACTCTGGTGTTTCTTTGGTGTTTTCTTGTCTTAAATACACTTACATAACATCCTAAGGTCGTTATTTAACATGCGGAATGGACTAGGCATCATATAAGCCTCATATAGGAGTTTACTCTCCAAGAACGTTCTTGGGCGGTAAACTCCCGGATCTCACAGATTTGTTATGTAATCGAGGTTATTAAACATGTTATAAGCCATATAATGTAACTAGAGAAGTGTACTCACAATTTGGGATGAAAACTCGAAGATCCGTGAGAGAGAAATGGCTTTTCTCTAGTTGGAATTGTCAATAATGAATTAATATGGCTCAAAATTCTATATATAGTCTTGAGATTTTTGGCAGAAAATATTTTATTCCCGTAATGAACTCTAATTTAATACAGTTTTGGAATAACCGTGTTGCACAAAACCCTAGTGCATCCATTCTCCTGATATCTCCTTAAGTGTAAATCCCGAAATACTCAAACTTATACAGAAAAGTCTGAAAATATATTAGTGACTGTTATAACTTCTATTGACCTTATAAAGTTCGTACATAATGGAAATTTCGGGTTGTCACACCGGTTGTCCTCTAACAGTTCTTCTATGATTTTGTTCTCAGGAAAGCTCCCAAAGCAGTTACATCATCCAACATCCAAACTATCTGCAAACATGTCACAACAATACAGTAGTGGGTCGTACCATAAATAGACCTAGAATACGCAACTAAGTTTTATTATGGTCCGACCAATGTATGCCTAAACCTAGATTCTATAGTTGACAACCTACATGCTTAAGGATTTATGGATCGATAGCTTAGTTTGATTAGTTAAGAATTAGGTTGAGGCCTACAAATTTAGGATCTTTAGATTGGTAGCCTAGATCGAATTCCTGAAGGTTGGAATCTTAGATCAAGACCTATTATGAGAGGATTCAACACTTTGTTTGTAACCATACACCTTAAGGATATCCTAATTAAGGGATTAGATTCAGGTATCCAACATACCCCCATATATAAAATCATAGGAAATAGGATACAATCTACTATATACTTATAATAGTAAATTATATGTATTTTATGATTCTCATATGATCTTTCATAAACATCTTCGTGTTTGATGTCTTATGAAGGGTACCAGAGTGATATGGATGACATATCAATGTTGGTGTTGTACCCTTTACCAGAAAAGAACCAGGTTGTGCCACACACCCAGAGACAGTGAGTGACTATGATCCGATGATGTCTTTACCCCTACCCTAGTACCAGTTAAGGAGGATGATGGGCTCTTTGAAGATCAGGAGGATAAGCAGCATGACAAAGAGCTTGGTGGGGAACCAACAGATAGCCTACCTTATCCAGATTCATCTTCCCATGATGACCATGTTGAGCATACTGAGACTCAGGAGGAGGATACTACTAAGTTAAAGACATCCTGAGAGATTAAGACACCACTATCCCCATCTTCTAACTGATCCTTTAGAATTCATGCTTCGGGGACCAAGACGATAACCACCCTAAGAAAATTCTTCCCCATTCCATACCGTAAGAGAGTAGCCTCGCCACCATCATCACCTAGGCCATTAAAGAAGCCTTACCCCACCAATAAGTGGACCCCATAGTTATACAAAAGGATTAGAGAAGAGAGCATCGAGGTTTACGAGGTTGGAGAGTCCTCCTAGGCACCACGACATGATCCCATTCTAGAGGACCCTACTGATAGGGCGATCTTAGTGTTGATTCCACGAGTAGCCCGACATGATGAAAATATACATTACAATGAGATGGAGCTTCTATCATTGAGGAGGGATGCGATGATGATGTATGATAGGGTATAAGAGCTAGAGAAGAATATAGATGTAGATGAGATGAGGATCCTCCATGCACACGACCATCTGGAGGAGACTTATTCTCTGGTTCAATTTCAGTAGATTGAGATTGAGGGTTTAGAGACG